CTGCAGCCTCAACCTCCTGAGCTCAAGCAATCCTCCCTTCTCAGCCTCCTCAGTAGCTGGAAATACAAGCATGCAGCACCACACCCTGCTAAATTATTTTTAAGTTTTATTTTTTGCAGAGATAGGGTCTCAAACTCCTAACCTCAAGTGATTCTCTGACGTGGCTTTCCGAAGTGCTAGGATTAAAGGTGTGAGCCACCACGCCCAGCCTGATTAGTATTTCTTGGTTGTCCCTTGTTTAGTCTAGAAAATGTCATATTAAAAATATCATTGTCCTGTGGTCTCAGACACTACAGGAAGTCACATGTTAGTGGGCCCATGTCTTCAGGCAAACATGTGAGATAAAAACTACCCCTGAAAATCCCTAACTAGCCCATCAAGTAAGTTTTGTCTTTGAAGAAGTCTTCAGCAATCACTTTATCTGCCCTTGGATACAGTAGCAATCCTGAACATAAGCCCCAGGTGAAATTGTCAGCTGCTTTTTGGGAGGAAGCTATGTTGAATGAAAAATAACAATAGCAAACACTTCCCTAGTGCTTATTATATGCAAACACTATTCTGGGCATTTTATTCAGCAGACTTCATTTCATCTGCATTGCAAACCTAGGCGCAATTATTTTCTCAGAGTCAAGGTTAAAAAGACTGAGGCTGAGAGAGAGAGTTGAGCAAGTTGCTTAATGTAACACCTGTTCGCTTCAATGAGGGGATTTGAGCCTGACACAGTGGCAGGTGCACCTGTAATGCCAGTTACTAGGGAGGCTGAGGTGGGAGGATGGATTTAGTCCGGAGTCCGAGTCCAGCCTGGACAACACAGCAAGACCCCACCATTAAAAAGAAAAAAAGAGGAGATTTGAACGCTTGGACTCTGACTCTAGATTCCGTATCTTATATTACACTGTACGCAGATACTTACAGGGCGAGGCCCTCGGATGAGCTTTGCTGTGAGAACAGCAGATTCAGGGCTTCTGTCTTAGGCTTACCCTGGGGAGTACCTTATATTTTCCTCATGTAAATACTAATGCGGAATTGACCCCGCTCTTTGGAGCAGCTTCCCAGCCTCGACACTATGGATGCTTGAGGCAGATCATTCTGTGTTGTGGGGGCTGTCTGTGCATCGTGGGATGCTGGGCAGCAGCCCTGGCCCACCCCCTACATGCCAGTAGCTTCCCATCCCTCAGTCCTGACAACCTAAAATGTCTCCTGATGTTGTCACGTGTCCCCTAGCAGCCAGATTCCCCCTGGTTGAGAACTCTGATGTAGATTATTCTCTGTCTGGGGTTTGGATTTGGGTAAGTGAAATTTGTATGTGAGGGAAGTCAAAGCACCTCCTTTTTTTTTTTTATTTTTTGAGATGTAGTTTCGCTCTTTTTGCCCAGGCTGGAGCAACCTCTGCCTCCTGAGTTCAAGCGATTGTGCTGCCTCAGCCTCCTGAGTAGCTGGGATTATAGGCATGCACCACCACACCCGGCTAATTTTTTGTATGTTTGGTAGAGATGGAGTTTCACCAAGTTGGTCAGGCTGGCCTTGAACTCCTGACCTTGTGATCCACTCCCCCCCCCCGCAGCCTGAGCCACTGCGCCTGGCCCCAAAGCACCTCCTAACACTTCTGCGTGTGGCATCGACCCAAGAGAAGCCTGAGGTGTTGGGAGCAAGGAAGGAGAGGGCACAGGCGATGGTTTTGATGAGCCCTTGGTGGGCACTCATCCTCAGAAATCAACTTGAGCACATCTCTAATTGCTACCCACACACAGATATGCACACAGCACATCGTGCTCCCACATGCTAAGGAGAAAACTTTTAATTTTTCTTTGTTGATATTCTAGGAGTTCTGCTTACCTCAATAAGTGAGGACCCCTTATCCAGACCCCTGTCCCCTGAGCCTTTGGGGAACAAGTTATATGGTCACCAACTCTTTAAAATCTATTTCGAAATTATAGAAATGTGACACATAAGCTGGTCCCACCAAGAGCTGCTGGCTGAATTTTAAGGAAGGTCCATGATTACCAAGGAACATAACCCGCAAAATGAAGGAACTAGACAAATTTCAGTTCTCTTTGATTAGGGCATGGCATTACATATTTTGAAATTAACTTCTTACATCTAAGGCAGCTTAACTTCCTCTTATTTATATTTCTTGTTCACATGAAATTATTGCATGAGCTGTGCCCACAATAAAATCACTGAAGGGCCGGGCACAGTGGCTCATGTCTGTAATCCTAGCACTTTGGGAGGCCGAGACGGGTGGGTTGCCTGAGCTCAACAGTTCGGGACTAGCCTGGGCAACGTGGTGAAACCCCATCTCTACTAAAATACAAAAAATCAGCTCGATGTGGTGGCAGGTGCCTGTAATCCCAGCTGCTCAGGAGGTGGAGGCACTACAATTGCTTGAACCCGGGCAGTCAAAGTTGCAGTGAGCCGAGATTGTGCCACTGCGTGCCAGCCTGGGTGACAAAACAAAACTCTGCCTCAAAAATAAATAAATAAAATCACTGAAAGGTGATTTCTGCTGACCTGTGACCCACATAATCTGGGAAGGCATTTGGGGAAAAGACAGAGGACATTGGTCAGGTTCTTTGATGCTTCATCTTGGACAGCAGCTTGACTGCATGAATCTGGACTATTTAGTACTTTTATTTTCTATTATTTTTTTCTTTTTTCATCAGCGTCCCTCAGGGAACTCCAGTGAACCAAAAGCTGACACTTCAGGGTCTCAGGCTCAATACCTGAGGATGCTGGTTCAGCAGGTGTAGAAATGGGTGTCAGAGGGCCGGGCGCGGTGGTTCATGCCTGTAATCCCAGCACTTTGGGAGGCTGAGGCGGGTGGATTACCTGAGGTCAGTAGTTTGAGACCAGCCTGACCAGCAAACCTTGTCTCTACTAAAAATACAAAAAAATTAGCTGGGCACGGTGGCGGATGCCTGTAATCCCAGCTACCTGGGAGGCTGAGGCAGGAGAATTGTTTGAACCCAGGAGGCAGAGGTTGCAGTAAGCCAAGATCGTGCCGTTGCACTCCAGCCTGGCGACAAGAGCGAGACTCCGTCTCAAAAAAAAGAAAAACAAAACAAAAAAAAGAAATGGGTGTCAGAGGCTCCTGTGATGCTGACATGCCCTGCACAGCTGGGAGCAGTTTTCTAGTTGTTCAGATCTGGATAAGTAGCTTATACTGGTTTATGTCTGTGTGTATGTGTGTGGGTGTTTACCTTCAGTGGGGAGGGAGCAGTTGTTGATGCATTGATACAGTGCTTAGCTCTGAGCTCTGTATTTTTTTTAAGCTGAAGTCTTGCTCTGTTGCCAGGCTGGAGTACAGCGGTGTGATCTTGGCTCACTGCAACCTCCGCCTCCTGGGGTCAAATGATTCCCCTGACTCAGCCTCCCAAGTAGCTGGGACTATAGGCACGCGCCACCACGCCCAGCTAATTTTTGTATTTTTAGTAGAGGAGGGGGTTTCACCATGTTGGCCAGGATGGTCTTGAACTCCTGACCTCGTAATCCACCCGCCTCGGTCTCTCCAAGTGCTGGGATTACAGGTGTTAGCCACCACGCCCAGTCCCTGGAGCCTTTTTATCACATTCCACTTGACTCTTTGAAGTTATCTTGTTTCGATCATTGCTTACATATTTATTGTCTTCTCCCTAAGTAAAATGTCTGTATTCTAGCAGGAGATGCTGACAGCATTTCCTTAGTAAAGACCAACTCAGTAACTTGGGAGTGGAATGCAAGGCTTCGGAAGGACTTTCATCAGCCCAGCTCTTCACACGGAGCTTAGCCTTGGGAGTTCTGTGGCCACCTGCTCACCCTTCACTCATGACAGAAGCAAAGAGGCTTCTAACATGACTCAGATCTAGCCACACATGTTCATGGATTCCCTGCATTACAATACAGATGTACCTCTCCCCTGGACTTTAAGATACTTTAGAATAAAAATTGCAAAGTGACAGCCGACTGATTCCAAGCCTCAGATATGTTCTTGTCAGCCAGGGAGATATTTTAAATTAATTTGAATTTAAAATTTAAAATTAGAAAAGATCACATTAGGCTTGGTATGGTGGCTCATGCCTGTCATCCCAGCACTTTGGGAGGCTGAGGCGGGCAGATCACTTGAGGTTGGGAGTTCGAGACCAGCCTGGCTAACATGGTGAAATCCCATCTCTACTAAAAATAAAAAATTAGGTGTAGTGACACACACCTGTAATCCCCACTACCCAGGAGGCTGAGGCGTGAGAATCACTTGAACCCAGGAGGTTGCAGTGAGCTGAGATTGTACCACTGCACTCCAGTCTGGGTGACAGCCAGACTCCGTCTCAAAAAAATAAAAAGAAAAGATTACATTAAAAATCTGGACTGCTGAGACTAGATGAACCCACTAAGACAGAAGCAGGTTGGTGGCTGCCGGGATCTGGGAGGAGGGTCGAGAATGGGGGGAAACTGCCCAAGGGGTGCAGGCTTTTGCTTTGGAGACATGGAAATGTTGGTACTCAGTACGAATTGTTCCCTTGGTGCCACTGAATTATCTACTTCACAGTGGTTAATTTTGTGGGATGTGAATTTCATGTCACTGAATTAGTTTTTAAAAATATGATTGCTGGATTTTCTGTTTGTTTGTTTTAAAGACAGTGTCAAGCTCTGTGGCCCAGGCTGGAGTGTAGTGGCACGATCATAGTTCACAGCAGCCTCAAGCTCCTGGGCTCAAGTGATCCTCCAGCCTCAGCCTCCGGAGTAGCTGGGACTGCAGGCATGTATCACTACACTCAGCTAATTTTTTTTGTTCTTTTTAGAGATGGGGTCCCTCTAGTTGTCCAGGCTGGCCTCAGACTCCTAGCCTTAAGCGATCCTCCTGCCTCGGCCTTCCAACGTGCTGGGATTCCAGGCCTGAGCTACTGTGCCTGGCCTGTTGGCTTCTTTTGGAAAGTTGTTGGAGCTGGAAGAATGGGCTGGAGTTGATTGTGGGTGAGCCTTGGCCTCCACCCACCCCGTTGACTTATGTATTTGTTTATTTTTTCTACTGAAAATCTGTTTATTAAGGAGTTAATATTTTACAGAGTTGATTCAATTCTTTATGGAACTTAAAATCCTGAGTTGCCCTTCAATAATACAGACGTCTGCAGTACAGACATTTGTACAAAATACTATAATTACTGGTACTTAGCATAACTAGAACTTCTTTTCTATAACTTCCATTTGTCAGGTAAATAAAACACTTTGACCTTTCAAAGTTGCTACACTTTAGGAATTCACAGATTCCTATTTCTCCAGTTTTTATTAGTACATTTTAAACCTTCAGGGACTGGAAGCGAACCCACCCCCAAACAAAAACCTCAATCTGAACCAACACTGAGAAACAGTAAAGTCAGAAGCTCTTTTTCCATGGAGAGCAAAAATACAGATATGTTTACTAATTTATTTTCCAAGAAAGAGAATATACTTTGGATTTAGAGAAAAAAAATGCTTAATTGTCAGGAGTTGCTTTTGGAGAATGATCAGTAAGTTCCTTATCAACTGTCTCAAAGTGATACCAGAGTCTGTCTCCTCTCGCATGCATTAATCTTCGTACTTCTGGCTCCTTTAACCGTGATTCAGCCTTTTCAGCTTCAATCTGAAGGTTGGCCATTCTTCTTTCATAATTCTTTTCAGGACCATCATAGAAAGTACGGGCAATGCATCTTGATATGGGATGCTGATACTATTCCCAGTGTTCTGGGATATAGCCTTCTGGAATTTCTGCTGGTTCAGCTTGACCAGTGAATACATTCACCAGAGTTGCAATAATTGCTACTGGAATTCCACTCAATAAAACGTAGAATCTCAATAACTTCAAAAAAGACCTGTCATAGAATCTAGAAGGTTTGGCCGGGCGCGGTGGCTCAAGCCTGTAATCCCAGCACTTTGGGAGGCCGAGGCGGGTGGATCACGAGGTCAAGAGATCGAGACCATCCTGGTCAACACGGTGAAACCCCGCCTCTACTAAAACTACAAAAAATTAGTTGGGCATGGTGGTGCGTGCCTGTAATCCCAGCTACTCAGGAGGCTGAGGCAGGAGAATTGCCTGAACCCAGGAGGCGGAGGTTGCAGTGAGCCGAGATCGCGCCATTGCACTCCAGCCTGGGTAAAAAGAGCAAAACACAATCTCCCAAAAAAAAAAAAAAAAAAAAAAAAAAAAAAAGAATCTAGAAGGTTTGATGACAAATAGTCTTTTTCCAAGGCCTCCACTGTGTCAAACATGAGCAACGGCCTTCGGAAAGTCATGAGTGAGGAAACTCCCAAACCCCAGTCCGATGACAAGGTGGCCGCTGGACACAGCTGCCACTGCAGTAACTGAAACCCATTGTGACAGACTGTTGGCCACCATGGCTACTCTCAGTTGACTTATTTACCAGCCTTGCCTGGCCCTATGAGCACCTGAGGTTGCAGCCCCCGACCCCACCCCTGAAAACAGTGGTGAGAAAATATTACTCCAAGGAAGCATTTTCTAGGGGTCCAAAAGGCCTTGAGTTGGAATTCCTCCCTGATGCTGTGGATTTTCTACCTAAACCCCTTGAAGCCACTCCTGGGGCTTGAGGGGCTTGTGTGGATAGGCCAGCTCCAGGGTCAGGCTGTGCACATGGACATGTGAGGCCATCCAAGACCACTCACCCTGAACCCCACGTTCCTGCTCAGCCCCTGGCCTTTGTAAACGCTGCTCTCTCTGCTTCCTAAATTTGTCCTTAGATCTTTAAAACAAAATTGAGCTGGGTGCGGTGGCTCACATCGGTAATCCCACCACTTTGGAAGGCCAAGGCGGGCAGATCACGAGGTCAGGAGATCAAGACCATCCTAGCCAACATGGTGAAACCCCTCTCTACTAAAATATAAAAAATTAGCCGGGCGTGGTGGCGTGCACCTGTAGTCCCAGTTAGTTGGGAGGCTGAGGCAGAGAAATTGCTTGAATCCGGAAGGTAGAGGTGGCAGGGAGCCAAGATCTCACCACTGCACTCCAGCCAGGTGACAGAGCAAGACTATGTCTCAGAAAAAAAAAATTAAAATTAATTTTTTAACGGAGATAGATTTCACATACCGTGAATTCAAAGCTCATCCCTTTAAAGTATTTAATTCATTGGTTTTTAGTATATTTACAAGGTTGTGCAACCATCACCACTGTCTAATTCCCGTTTTCATCACGCCAAGACCCCCATGTCCTTTATATCCTAATCTGCATCGCTGCTAAGCAGTGCTGTCCACTCTAAACGAGGCACCCTTCCTTAGTCCCCACAACCCCAGTGTCTGCCCAGGCCTGATGGTCAGCTCATGTGTCCACCTCTTGGGTCTCTGTGTTGGTTCAAATGTCAGTAAATAGCCGAGAGCCTCATGGATACCCTGCTGGGACAAGCCCCCACAACTAAAGGGCGAGAACCCCAAACACCAGGACCAGCTGATGGGACCCTGCCCCATTGGCCATTGTCAATGGACAGTGGCTGTCCCACATTAATTGTTGAATATTTTGATTGTGACTCTGTTTACCCATGAATGACACTTTGCACACTGGGTTGAAATCACTCCTCGGTTTTCTTCCCTCCCCGCTAGAGATGAGTGACGTCTGGGAGGGCAGGATTTGGTCCAGCCTGTTCACTGACCTCTGACCTAGCCCTCCACTGGGTAGATGGGAGGTTCTCCATACATGTGTTGTTGTGGCTCTGAGCTCAATTTATATTTCTTTCTTTTTTTCTTTTTGATTTTTTGAAATGGAGTCTTGCTCTGTCACCCAGGCTGGAGTGTAGTGGCATAATCACGGCTCACTGCAACCTCCACCTCCCAGGTTCAGGTGATTCTCCTTCCTCAGCCTCCAGAGTATCTGGGACTACAGGAGCCCACCACCGTGCCCAGCTAATTTTTGTATTTTTAGTAGAGACAGGGTTTTTCCATGTTGGCCAGGCTGGTCTTGAACTCCTTACCTCGGGTGATCCACCCACCTCAGCCTCCGAAAGTGCTGAGAGATTACAGGCATGAGCCACTGTGCCCGGCCTCTAAGCTCAGTTTATTAAACTCAATATTTCTTAAACAGTGTTGAAAATCAATGAAAAACATTTGTATGTTGATCATAAACTTAATTTTATATCCTTGGACAATTTAAGTGACATTTCAATTTAGCATTAATGATTATGTGGCGCACCAAATAAACGTGCAACCTAAAATACACACAGCAATGACAAAACTCACTGTTTACAGCGTGGTAGGGGAATTTTTAGTGGTTAATGAAACCCCAAGTGAAAGAAATATGTAAAATACAGCAGCAAGGTATGTTGAATTAGAAAATACATTTTTGAATTAATGTCCTTAAAATAACTTAAAAAAACTTTTTACTTTGAAATAAGATCAGGCTTACGGGAAGGTAGCAAGAATGGTACAAATAACTGATGTGTACGTTTAACCAAGATTCACTTATTGGACCAGCGCCGTGGCTCACACCTGTAACCCTAGCACTTGGGGAGGCCGAGGCAGGTGGATCACTTGAGCTCAGGAGTTGGAGAACAGCCTGGCCAACGTGGTGAAAGCCCGTCTCTATTAAAAATACAAAAATTAGCTTGGCATGATGGCACATGTTTGCATTCCCAGCTACTCTGGAGGCTGAGGCAGGAGGATCACTTGAACTCAGGAGGCAGAGGCTGCGGCGAGCCAAGATAACACCACTGCATTCCAGCCTGGGCAACAGAATGAGACTCCGTCTCACAAACACACACACACCTACCATATAAACGCATGGATGCAGACATATTCTTATTGTTACTCAAATCGTCCCATTGTTGGCGAGCGGGAACCTCTTCCAGTTGGCGTCTGAGTCTTCCTAATGGCTGACATTTTGCACGTGTGTGTGCATGCCTGTGTATTTGTTCTCTAAAGTGTTTGAGAATAAGTTGAACACATCATGCCCCCTTGCCCCTAAATACTTCACTGTGCACTTTTTATATTTATTTTTTATTTTTATAGAGGTGAGGTCTCACTATGTTGCCCCAGGCTAGTCTCAAACTCCTGGGCTCCAGCGATCTTCCTGCTTTGGCCTCCCAAAGTGCTGGGATTACAGGCATGAGCCATTGTGTCCAGCCATCAATGTGTACTGTAAGCAGAGACGTTGTCTTATGTAAGCAGAGTGTGATGATGGAAACTAAGAGACTATCTAATCTATAGTTCACATTCCATTGTCCATTAGAGTCACTTTTTTCTCTCAGTTCAAGATTCAATCCAGAGGCTGGGTGATGGCTCATGTCCGTAATCCTTTGGGAGGCCAAAGCAGGTGGATTTCCTGAGCTTAGGAGTTCGAGACCAGTCTGGGCAACATGGTGAAACCCTGTTTCTACTAAAATATAAAAGTTAGCCACACTTGGTGGCATATGCCTCTAATTCCAGTTGCTCAGGAGGCTGAGGCATGAGAATCACTTGAACCTAGGTGGTGGAGGTTGCAGTGAGCCAAGATCACGCCACTGCACTCCAGCCTGGGTAACAGAGTGAGACTCTGTCTCAAAAAAAAAAAAAAAAAAAAAAGACTCAATCCAGGATCTCCACTGCGTTTAGTTATTCTGGAACTATTCCAAGCCTTTCTGTATTTCTCATGACATGGACATTTTGGGGGAGTAAAGGGCAGCAGTTTTGAGGAATACACCTTAATTCGGGTCTTTCTGATGTTTTTCCCGATTACATCCAGGTTATGCTTCTCAGCAGAAATGATAGTCAGCTGATGTGTCCACCTCTTGGGTCTCTGTGTTGTTTCAAATGTCAGTAAATAGCCGTGAGCCTCATGGATACTCTGCTGGGACAAGCCCTAATGTCCTAAAAGGACCTTCTCTTTTTTTTTTTTTTGAGCTCTGTCACTACTAAAGGTGGCCGAGAAATCGCATGGTGTTTTTTTTCTCTCTCTCTCTCTTCTATCCTGCACCTCTTATCTGCAATTCCAGGCCCCAGATTTCAGCCTTCCATGGTCTTTACCACTCAAAGAGCCCGAGGCTCCTTAGAAAGCAGCTGATTCTAAGTCTTGAGGCGGAAACCAGTCAGACTGGATCTGGAACATCCTTTGGTTGACAAAACGTAGAAATACTGTTTTTTTTTTTAAGTATATTTTTTAAGACAGGGTCTTGCTCTGTTGCCCAGGCTGGGGTGCAGTGGCACAGTCTTGGCTCACTGCAGCTTCTGCCTTCCAGGCTCAAATGATCTTCCTACCTCAGCCTTCCAAATAGCTGAGACCACAGGTGCACACCACCGGGCCTGGCTAATTTTTGTTATTATTATTAGCAGTAATAGAGCTGGGGTTTCTCCCTGTTGCCCAGGCTGGTCTTGAACTCCTGAGCTCAAGTGATCCACCTGCATTAGCCTCCCAAAGTGCTGGGATTACAGGTGTGAGCCACCTGTGATTTTTGCCTGACCAAAAATACTTTTTAAAAAGTCATAGGCTGTTCAAAAAGAATAAATAAACTAGTTTAACAATACTCTCACAGGCTGTGGTAGTGATTCAGTATTTGCTGAATGAGTTAAGATAAGCACTCAATTCTCCCATTAAATAACCTCTGAGTTGGGCTTTACCAGTGATGGCCGTAGTTTCTAAAGTGCCATACGTTTTAGGGTATATTGGTTTGGTTATAGCTCTTAAGAAGCACAGGTAGGAAATTAACACCATATTAAATATTTGCAACCATTAGTGGACACAGTTTGATTCCAGAAAAATTAAAATAGTCAAAAATAAAAATGCAAGGAAAGACAAGATTCTCTCCATTTTGCAGATGAGGAAACTGAAGCTCCCAAAAGCCAGGTAACAGACACAAGTGAATATTTGCTGCCTTCAGATCTTGTCCAGTTTCTAGCAGAATCTAGAAGCTCTTCAGACAGAAAACTACAAGGCCAGGCATAGTGGCTCACACCTATAATCCCAACACTTTGGGAGGGCAAGGTGGGCTTGGCCCAGGAGTTTGAGACCAGCCTGGGCAACATAGCAAGACCCTGTTTGTAGAAAAAAAAAAAAAATTATTTTTTGTTTTTAATTAAAGAAAAGAAAATGAAAAGCATATAACTGGGGTAATTCTACTTCTTACTTCCAGTTCAAAAAAAAAAGGACCCCACTCAGGGTGAAAACAAAACAAGAATAAAGGCTTCATAACTTCTTCAGTCTCTGTGATCCACTCCCTCTTTTTACACCATCGGCTGGCTGGTTTCTGCTCCAGACTTCTGGAAAGTCAGTCCCAGGGCTCTCTGCTCTTTTCTGTCCATCAGTTAATAACTCTTAGTCTCCTATTTTAAAAAGGTGAGTGTCAGTACAGCTGTCCCCATGGTCTCATCCACTCACCCCCAACTCTCCTCAAGTAAGCCTGGGACCCCTCATTTCACCATCTGTTCTTAGAGGAACCTCACTTTC